AGGGCAACGAGCTGCCCCCAGGGATGAGCTACCACCAGCCAGGTGGCAGTGGCCAGGGGGGGACTCCCCTGTCCCCTTCCCCAGGGGCAGCCAGGACAGAGGGGTCCCTGCAGGACCCACGCACAAAGCAGCACGGAGACCCCGGGACAAGAACAGCCCTTGGGGACCCAGGTGGGACAGACACACACCACCACACGGCCTGCACGGCCCTGGTCTGGAACCCGGCCAGCGTCCCCTCCTGCGGGGACAGGGCTCGCCACACAGTCCCCCAAACCCTGGGCACAATCCCACCCGTCCTCGGATCCCACTGCCATGGGCTCCTCAGCCCGGCTTCGCCTCACACCTGCAGCAAAATCAGCCCAAATCACCCCAGGAATGGCCAGGGAGGGAGCTGCAGCCCAGGCAGGGACCCTCCTCCCCTTCCATGCCCGCACCTTGGGCAGCCCCAAAACCAGCAAGTGGGAAAAAAAAATAAATGATACTTAAGAAACTAAAAATAAATCACTGCACTGGCCAGGAAGTGCCTGGAAACTTCATGTCTTTATTGCCCATTTCCCATCCCAGCTCCAGAGCCCGGGGCCAACGCAGCCACCGTGCCTTGGGGAAGCGGCCACCCCTCTTTGGGTCCGGCTGACAGAAGGTGCAGGGGGAGGTCCCCAGTCCCTGTCAGGGCCCCCCAGGGGTCGGGGGCTGAGCCCCTTCTCCAGGGACAGCACTGGGGCGGTGGGACCCTCTCTGGACCCCCAGCAGGCGCAGTCCCCTTCCCATCAGCACGGCCCAGTGCAGTTCCTGGCCCCGCTGCTGCTCAGCATCTCCCTCACACCCTGATCCCCCCGAGCATCCTCCTGCCCCCAGAACTCCTGTCCCTGCACCAGCTGCACCCCCACTGCCCACAGCTCCCAGGGGCCAGGGGGAATTGTTCTGCTCAAGAGAAGGAAGAAAAGACAAGAAAAGGAAAAACCCCAAACCCAAACATAATGGAGCCTCAGTGCCGGGGGACGAGCTCTCCTCTCCTGGAGCTGCTGCTGAAGCCCTTGGTGCCATCAGGGCCGTGGGGCAGGCGAAGGACCCCATCCTGCAGGCCGTGGTGCTCCGGCACCCGCTTGGCTGCCAGGGGATTGCTGGGAGGAGGTTTAGCATCTGGGATGGGGTTGCTGCAGCAGGGCCCCCAGAGACCCCCCCCTCTCCCCCAGCTGCTGCTGCAGGGGCTTTTGGGGCTGGAGCAGAGGCCATACCACCCGCCGGTGCCCACGCCTGTCCCCAGTGGACCAAAGACTTTGCTGGTGAGGAGCGATCCATTGAAAGCGTTGCTGAAGTCGCTGGGCTTGAAGTCGGTGCTGGACCATGTGGCTATGGAGGGTTCCTTGTTCCAGGGGAAGGATGACAACTCCAGGGCACTATCTGGCTCCGGGGAGCTGCAGAGCAGGGACTCCCCGATGCCGTAGGGGGACGTCGCCGCCGCCTGCGCCTTCCAGCCCAGCTGGTCCACCAGCTCCGGCGCCGCCTCCCTCTCTGCCCCAGCTTTCTTCTTGGAGCTCTTCCCGCAGAGTCGGACCACCCTGATGCTCTCACCACCCGGGCAGCTCTGGCGGCCGAGGCTCTCGAATGCCCTGCGGGCGCTCTCCAGGCTCTCGTACTCCACCAGCGCGCAGCACTTGCTCAGCAGCTCCGGGAAACGCGAGGTGTATTTCCGCACATCCGAGGGCAGCTTGCGGCCCGGCCGCAGGATGCGGATGGAGGCGATGGCGCCGAAGGGGCTGAACATCCTTGTGATAGTCTCCAGGAAGTTCTTCTGGAGCGGTGGCAGCACCCCCTGTCCCTGGGGCAGCAGCTCCCAGGCCAGCAGCAGTTTGCTGGGGGGGATGCTCAGCAGGGACTCGGGGACCGGGACGCGCCGCCGGACTTTGGTGCCCTCCTTGTTCACCTCCAGCAGCTCCGAGAACTGCAGGGCGTAGAGCGTCAGCCGCCAGTCCCGCGTCAGGTATTTCACCTGCAGAAGAGAGGGGGTCACTGCATCGCCCTGAGTCACCCTAAAACTGTCCTCCAGGCAGGCTACAGCCCCATCAACATGGCGTCATGGCACAGCAGCATCCCCATTTAGCATGAACATCATCAGGGGTTGCAGGAGAAGGTCCCCAGTGCCTCCTGGACCACAACAACAAGCTACAGCTTCTCCAGACATCACACCACCAGCACTCCCCCGCAGTTTTCCAGTTAAGGGATGATCTTTCCCAAAGCAGCCCAAGGAAACCTCAGCCAGAATTAATGCAGTCCTGTGGGCGGTTTAAGGACTGCTCACTGCTTCCTCAACCACCCTCCCTGGTTGGGGAGCTGCTGCAGCACATCAAAGGCAGACAGCAGAGCCCAGCTCTGCACCACCAGCACATCACTGGGACAGAGACAGCCTGAGCAGAGCCTGGATCTCCCCATACACCCCACCAGAGACATCTAGAAATCCTCCACATGAAGGCCACATCCCACCCCAGCTGGCCGGTGCCATGGGCTGCTTACCTTCTTGAAGGACGTCAGCAGTTTGATGCTCACAAACCCCATCTTGTTCTTCTGGACGTGTTTCAGGAGGAAAGCATCCTTGGACAGGTTCTCATCGGAGAGGTAGAACTCCACCTGAGAGACGATCCTCCGGATCAGCTGCGGGTCAGGGATGGAGTAGTTGCAGTCCAACAGATCAGCCCTCAGAACATCGCTCATGTTGTGCAGTCTCCTGGCAGAGCAGCGGGGACACGGGCATGAGTTGGTGGCCTTTGGGATGAGTAGCACTGCCCAGTCCCAACCACAGTGGTGCAAGCAGCAGAGATGCCGGGGAGATCCAGGGCCACCAGCTTTGCCCTGGCTGCAGGGGAGCCACACCAGCCTGGACCTTCAAAACCTCCAGGTGCTGGGACCACCAGTGGTAGACCACGAACCTAAACCCATGCCAGACAGGGGACACATTCCCTTAGAGACAAACACAAGCCATGTCCCAGCAGCCACGTACCTGTTGAAGCTCTGCAAGAAGTCCTCCTGGCTGGGCAGGGTGAGCGAGCTGCTCTGCGGGGGACAGAGATGCAGCGCCGGGAAGGACTTCCTTTGTGCCAGCAGAGAGGTGCTGGGCTGGGAACCCAGCCCCGAGGCCACCCCAGAGCTACGCGATGACATTGTCCTTCATCTGGGACATGAGAATCACAGAATCTTAGTGGTTGGAAGGGACCTCTGAGATCATCGAGTCCAACCACAAAAAAAACCACAAAACAAAACAAACAAAAAAAACCACCACACAACAAAAAAACCCACACCACACCAAATACCCACCAAAAACACCGCACCCACCAACTAAGCCCCACACTCAACACCTCGCCATAAACCAATAACCTTGGGCACTAGAGCATGCCCTGAAGAGCCATGTCTATACGTTTCTTAAATCCCTCCAGGGATGGTGACTCCACCACCTCCCTGGGCAGGCTGTTCCAGGGCCTGACCACCCTCTCAGTAAAGTAGTTCTTTCTAATATCTAATCTAAATCTCCCCTGCCCCAACTTCAGACCATTTCCTCTGGTCTTGT